TATTGCTATTGAAATTATTTTAAAGTAGTAGTTAATTGTGATACAAAAGAACCAAATTATTAACAAATTAAAGAAGAGCCACTTAACAACACTGTGGATGGCAAAAGGATGACAGAATTGGTTTCGGTCCCCTGTAGGGGGTTAGGACAGTAGGAATGCTCCTCTTGCTGCCCAGCCAGCAGATGGCACAGTGTGCCAGCATATGGCTCCAATGCTGGGTCAGCAGCTCTCTGCTCTGATCAACTTCAGGAGTTTTAGCTAAAGGTCATCACTTCCCCCTCTCCTCCTTTTCCCCCGCTCTTCCTTCCTTCTCTTAGTCTTCCCTTCCTTTCTCCCTACTTTTCTTCCTTTCTTCCTTCCCTTCATTTTTCATCCTACCTCTTCCTTCTACCTCTTCTCCTGGTCCCATTAACTGGAGAACTGAATGACACCAAGGAGACTGGGTTCAAGATCATTACTGAGAATTACTGGCAGTCCCTCCTGAGGACAGATATTACAGTCTGTCCTCCTGTGATGGACAGCATGTAATTAATCTAGGTTTTTGGAATGGATCTAGCAAAGAACAGGGTGAGATATAGTACAGATTTATGCTTTATAATACCTTTTCTTTCCTTAATTAAAAAGATTAAAAACAGACTAGTCTGTGGAAAAACCAGGCATCATGTAGAGGGAGACTCAGCAGTCTGAGAGTTACAAAGACAGAGTTGTTACAGAATTATTATTCTAATAATGTGATATGTGTATGTCCCATAAAATTATCAAGAATAAGGTGTATGGTACCAAGCATCCCTTTGGACCATGATTCCTTTTCTCTTTAAAGTAATTGCTATTCTCACTGCTGCCAGTACAGGGTGGTTTTCTTCGTTGTAACTTTAAATGAATGAAGTAACAGCATATGTTGTCTTTGGAGATTGGCTTCTATTGCTATAATGATGCTTGTGTGCAGCAGCTACAGTTAGTTTTCATGAGGAGCAAGCAAACATCCCTTCAGGAGAAGTGCTAGCAGCTCTAATACCTGTCCATGAATTAATTACTCTTAGCATCTAGAGGTAGGATTATCTAGGTGATTATCCAGAGCCATAAAGGGAATGATGAAATCTGTGATAGACAAACCATACAAAGAGCAGGATGCAGTAGAGACTCATTTTGATTAAATAATAGTGTTTTCTAGGATCAAATTTGGTATTAAATATTTTAAAGAGTTTGTTCAAAATCACCCACTCTCCAGCAGCTTGGCAATATTATTGGTAAAACACAGCAATGTATCATTTGTTCTTCCTTCCCTAGGTCGGTACCCTATGTTAAATGTGTTTTGGGTATTTAAGCAGAGAGTTGCTAAAAATCTTTCTGCATGGATGGTTTCATTTGAATAGACAACGCACACACTACTGAATCTGCTCCAAACTAGACTGATATGATGACTACCTCCATTAGCATCCACTTCATTAACCAAGAATACATTGCAACCCATGGCAAAGTGTTGAAAATGCAATAAGACTACCCGGAAACTCTTGGGCTCTGAGTTTGACATGAATATGCATGAAGTAGCTTTCAGTTGCTGAAGGAAGCCAGTGAGCAGGGACCAGTGACAGATGCAGGAAGTCATGGGGCTTTCCATGTTTGGCATGGAAAGGCATGGTTCACCGGTAGTTAAATAATGGGCCCTTTGGAGAGATACCAAGTGGCCAGGGGTTTCTCTGCAGGGGCAGGGTTTGCAAGGGAAAGAAACAGATACCTGGGACCCAAGCAGGTCTTCCTTGAGAGCTTTTAGAGTCCAGATACTAGAACAACTTGGGAAAGGGGTGGGTAGTTCTAAAGAGAAGGGAAGAGGAGAGGGAATTCAGCAATAACAAACTAATGGTAAAATACCGGGGTGGGGGAGGGGGATTTGTCCATAGGAAAAACAATGAAAGGCCCAGTGCCATGGCCTAGCGGCTAAAGTCTTTGCATTGAACACACCTGGATCCCATATGGCCACTGGTTCTAATCCCGGCAGTTCTACTTCCCATTCAGCTCCCTACTTGTGGCCTGGGAAAGCAGTTGAGGTCAGCTCAAAGCCTTGGGACCCTGCACCCATGTGGGAGACCTGGTGCAGGCTCCTGGCTCCTGGCTTCGGATCAGTGCAGCACCAGCCATTGCAATCACTTGGGGAGTGAATCATTGGATGGAAGACCTTCCTTTCTGTCTCTCCTCCTCTCTGTATATCTGACTTTGCAATAAAAATAAATAAATCTTTTTAAAAAAGAAAATAAAAGAATAAATATGAGTAGGGTGGGCTGATGGAGCAGGAACAGAGACCCTGGTTCTAGAGTCCTGAGATCTTACTCGGAATGGATCTTTCAACAGATCTCAGTACTTTCACCCATAAAATGGGAAAAACAAAACGAATAATAATCTTACAAATTGTGTAGAAGGTCTCTGTCTCTATGCATCTATCTTCCTGCCTATCAATTTTTATGTCTCATTAGCAACTCTATCGCTGGTTCTAACACAGTCAAACTGCTCTCAGATAAATGCGCTGCTCAGTTCTCCTTCATCTGATTTTCACTAAAACATCTATTTCCAACCTCAGACCATTCCCTCAGGGAGCCCTCATTATTCCCCAGATCAATTTGTCCTCCTGCCTTAACTATAAGGTAAGAGGACACCTTTGATGCTAGGAACATGGCAGGTGGGCATTCGCCAGCTCCACGGGCCCACGGTTCAGGCAGCAGATTTGCTGATGGAAAATATGATCTCCAAAGAATGTCTTTCTCGCCTGTGAGAATTATTAATAGCTTCTGAGACAGAAGGTTTCAAGTTGAGAATGAACATCATTATTAACACTGACTCAAATGGACTCTTCAGGAAGGCGGATTATAAAGCCCTCACAGGATGCTCTGAAATGACAGAGGTCTGAAAAACTAAAAAAATGTGGAGATAATGGAGAAACAGGAGTGAGTGGCTAAGCCAATCAAAGGATTTGGGGTTTGGCTTCTGCTATGCCATCGATAGTCCTCTTTTCTGACAGCAGGGCCCTACTCTCCAAGATGCTTTCTGCCAAAGGAATGCTGCTACAATCTCTCCGAAGTAATAGGAAGCCTTCTACTAGGGGACTTGGTGGGCGCCCAAACTCCTGCTTCACAGTGATCATCCTATTGTCCTCACTTTTAAGCTTCTATCTCCTCAGATCTCATGTGTACCCCTTTCAGCATTACTTCCAGAAACCCACATCCATTTTCACTTACGCTATGTTCCCATCTGGAAACTCCCATTGAAGCCCACCCTGTAAAATGCCACCCATCCTTTAATAAACGTTTAGTGCCATTTTCTCATGGAGGCTGTCTCTAAATACACAGTTCTTGAGTTCTCCCTTTTCTTCTAAACTTTGAATAGTAGTCAGAGTTTATTTTGTATAACATAGTGCTAACTAATCGTGCTGTGTTATCTCTTATATTGGTATGCGTTAGTTTTCTAGACTATTGAATTAGAGGCCTATTGAGTCAGGGAACCTACTGAGGTAGGGACCTCATCTCCCAACATGGCAGAAGGGGCTAGTTTTTTTAATTTGCCCATCACACAAAGGTATTGTATAGGCTAGTTTCAGCTTTCTCCTGTCTTGTAATTGATGGAGACCACACCAGCTGCCATGGATTGGCACCACACTCATTCCTTAAGGACAAAAATCATGTTGCTGGGACCTCTGGATGACAATACCTATCATATGCTTTCTTTCAAGATATCATCTTTTTTTTTTTACACACAGTAAGTTGACATAATCTTCCAGATGAAGCAGAACAAAAGACATACTCTAAAGGAAATGGAGAAAAAACGACCATGACAGAAGTCAAATGCAATGACAGATTGTTCAGCAACAATCACTAAAAGCCCTAGAAATACAGTGACATACAGTTGGGGAAAGAGGAGGAAGACATTTCAAGGGAGCTAGCTGACAGCAGTGCTGATAATGCAGGGGGAGAATTCATCTTAGCACAATGACTGCTTCCCAAACAGTATCAGGTTTAGCATGGACATAGAAGAAGAGAAGACCTGGGAAGGCAAGCCAAGAAATATCACACTGGTGCACACAGATTTGTTATTTTTGTCTATCAGGAGTTTCTGGATGTCGTCCTTGAGCAAGTCACACATGCTGACATGCAGGGCCACAAAAGAGGAAGCAAACTGCAGTTCCAGTCTACTATTTAGCTTTGACCTTGAGGCCTGGTATAAGTCACTTGATTTAGTTTTCTCATCAACAAAATGGAGACAACAGCACCTAAATCATTTGCTCATCCATTCACTAGGTATTTAAGAAGAGCCTGCTACTACCACAAAGGATCATAGTGGCCGGGAAAGACAGAGTCTTTGTTCTTGCCAGTGTCTAGACACCTTCCAGGCCTGAAGGTACATAGAAGGAAAGCATCTCTGAAATGGAGAGTACTTTAACGTGAAAAATTTTCTTCTTATCTGGGATTTTGCTCTTGCTCTGGCTGTGTGGCTTGGGCCAGTTATCATTTTTTAGGGCTTTCCTGTTCTCCTTTACCAAATGGGGAGACTGTCCTAAAACGTCATTATTCCAAATAAAAATGAGAAGTTAAACTCTGAAGGTCTTTCTGAATCATGAATTTCAGAAAGATAATTAGGAAATAGCTCAGTTATGGATAAGAACATTATGACACACCTTTGTGGACCAGCTCCTTCACTTCAGAGAGAAAGCATTATGAGGCAGGTTATTGGCTAGTGTGTCCTCTTTCTTCCAGCCCCTCATGAGTATAAGGAGTTTGAAGTTTATTATTCTCAGTCATAGCCTTTCAAAGAACATGGTGTGTGACTAAATGGCTCACCAGACTTTAGTGTTCCTGTTCCTAACGAATGTGGCACCACAGTATTGTACATCAAACAAACCTCAAGTGCCAGGACATTGTTTCCCTACCAGTCCTGCCTGCTGACCACCACCAGAGAGGACTGGGAAAGTCCTGTGGCAGGCAGAGCACTGAGAAGGAATACAGTCTCATACTTACCTTGAGGGCCTTCTGCGCAGGTTCACTGGACCCAATGGCAATCAGATTTGGCCCAGCCATGCTGCAGAAACTCTTCAGATGCAGGGAATCAACCACCGGGACTGTGGAGACCGCATAGTCCTATACAGTTCGCAAAACAAAACAAACCAGTTTGATGCTGCAGAATAACACTAATAAAACTGCTACGAAACCTGCCTGAACTGAACATACTCTGTGGGCAAGACAAGGCTGTCTGGAGGAAACCTAGGGTCCAGAAGTTTTACTGTTTCCAATTAAAGCTCTGTTGTTTCTGTGACCTGTAGCATAGGCTGCTCTGGGCTGGTGTGTTTGAATATCCTGCATAAACAGCCTCTGCTGGAGATTTGTTTCTTCTCAGAGAATTTCTTGAGGGCTATATTTCTTTGACTTTTTTTGGTCGTTTATTTTCATTTTACTCAAAAAGCAGAGAGACAAAGAAGTCTTACATTGTCTGGTTCACTGCTCAAATGCCTTCAACTTGGCCTAGGAAAGGTAGTTGAAGCCAGGATCCTAGAAGTTAGTCCAGGTCTCCTGTACGGACAACACAGACTCGAACACTGGTACCTTGATCAGCTGCTTTCCAGGCTGTGTTTTGGTGGGAGACTGGGTCAGAAGTGGAGTGGGGCTAGAAATGGAACCAGGTTCTCTGATATGGAATGCAGGTATTCCAAGTGGTTTCTTATTGCACTAAACACCAACCCAGTTGTACTCATTGCTAAGCAATTTGGTAAGCTGATCTATTAAAGTCCAGCATAGTAAAAGGAACATGAGGGGATGTTTGTGTAACATCAAGGCAGTTTCTGGAATATAGTAGGCACCTCTTTGGAGGTAACCTTTGATTCCAATTTGAAAAATCCACATTTTATTTCAGAGTCAATTAAGACAATCAGATTTTTCCCCCTGAAACCACTGATTGTGCCAAGAACATCTGCCAAAGGCTCATATGATTTTGCCCTACCAGAAAGCCCAAGATGCCTAACTTTGTCTGTTGCTCTTGTGATAATCCAAGAAAGTCTGTTTACTGAGAACTATAAACTAGACAACTCTAAGACCCTCAACAAATTTATGAATATTAGGAAATGTTTGTGAGACTGATGACACACAAATATCATTACTCATGATATATTGATTCCAAGGGTCCATGAATATTTATTAAATCATCATTACTCTGTGTTAGGCATAAATCATCCCTTACCTACCTTAAAAGTATCAGCCAGGATTTCAGCACCTCGTTGATTTGTCCTCTTGGAAAGGCCCACGAAAAATTCTCTTCCTATAATAGATGTCATGGAACATGGTGAATGAGTGGCCTCAGGGAGTGTATACTGCTTCCCTATAAATAATGACCTGAAAGTCACATAGTTCTGTCCCCAAACAAAGGACCCAGGACACCTCCATTAAACAAACAAACAAAGATCACCCGCTTTACTGAGGAAATAAAAACCCAAACCAAATGGGAACCCCCTGCAAAACAAACAAATAACAACAACAAAAAACCCCACCATGTAAAAAAAAAAAAAAAACTACTGCAAAAAACCCGATTTCAAACTATTGGCATTACAGGAAAACATTTTCATAATCCATGAAGGAAGAAAGTATAATGGTAGTTCCCAGGTGCTGAGAGACAAGGTAGACAGAACTGTTTTTAATGGGCAGCTGCAGTGGGGAAGATGAAAAGGTTGCCAGGACTCAAGGCAGTGATGGCTGCAAGCAGCGTGAATGTATTTAAACACCTCTGCACTAAACACAAATGAGTAAAATGCTGTATCTAATTTACCACAAAAAGAATGAACTTGTACTTAGGAAACAACAGATTTGAGCATATCAAAGATAACGTAGTAGTTACGGCATCTCTAGTACCAGTTCTTCCTCCTAGCTCACCCTAAAAAAATCAACGCCAGATGTTGCGATGAAATTGGATTCTTTTCTTACAGCAAGCAGATAACGTCTGAAGAAACCATCTGGGACAGTGAATTAGTGCTGACTACTGAGAGCTCTGTCTTTAAAACAATGTATGTTACTCACTTCAAATAAAAAAGAGCAAAGGATGCCTATTTACCAAGTACAAATATTTAGGACATACCTTTCTGAAATTTTGCAATTTTCTACTTAGAAAGTAAAATACTAGATAAAAATGATGTCTTACTTATAGGTGAACAAGTACAGAAGATGGGGTTAAGCAGTGCTTTCTCATGCTTCCTTAATTATTTTTAACATAATTCCATTTAACTGTGGGAAAAACATTGAAAGAAAAATCAGCTTCACTTTGACCCTGAGTATACAGTAAGGTGTGCGAACAACCATGCAGAAGTGAGTGTTGGATTGACTTTATAAATGCTATAACTTTCATCTTCATAATATTCTTATAGGAGAGGTAAATGACATAGGCCAAGTGATGTTATGAAAATATTTCAAGGTTAAGACTTGATGTTGACAGGCACAGGAGTCTTTCATGGAAAACTGACAGTTTGTCTTTTCGAATTTTTTATGAATGCCACACTTGTGTTGTCTCTTAAGAAATGTTACTATATCCCTAGCTGTAGATAACTGCCTAGGTTGCCTTGTACCTACGTAAGTGTTACATTTCTTGGAGAGAAACAAACAGCTGGTGGGCATTCTGGATGTGGTTAATGCCAAATTTGTATTAACTATACCAGTGTGCCAGCACAGTTGCCTGTTCCTTTTGGGAATGATATGTGGGGAACTCTGTGCACTGCCACAGAGAGCAGAGGGAGACTTTGGGCTGGGACCACAGGGATGTAGCATGCCACTGTGTATAGTAGAAAGGCTGCTGATTGCCCACAGAAGGGAATCTGTTAGAGTGGGGGGGATTCTGAGGGCATGTTTGACAGTTTAGGAGTAACTTTGGGGGGCTTCTATGGATTGGGCCACTGCACTCACAGACAGCAAGGGAGTTGAGATGAGGTAATTTTTTTTTGCGGGGGGGACCAGAGGGTATTCTGGGTCAGGTCAAGGCACCCACTCATGTGGGAGACCTGGAGTGGGTTAAGTGGCATCATTCACTGGCACACGTGAAAGCTGGAGCTGTAGGGCATGCATAGCGGGACTAGGTTATAGTACCTGTCCATGAGTGTTGGATCAAGGCATGGGCTACACCATGCTGGGTTGCAGTATCCAGTGGAACATGAGAGAGCCACATCTGAAGATAGATTCTGTAATGGCCTTGTGGGCTCTCCTTTGTGTGCTACAACACCAGCTGCTTTTCACAAGAGTGGAAGGTGGTTATGGGTTGAGTGAGGCTGGACCACAGAACTTTTTGGTATGTGTGTGGGCCAGATCTGGGTACAAGCTGAGCTGGGCTGGGCCATAGCACCCACTGGCACACGTAAGGGCCAGGACAGGGTATTGGCCATGCAGGGTTGGGACAGAGTTCAACATTCACCTTTGAGAGAAGAGACTGGGGGTGGTCAAAGGCTGGAACAAAGCACCTGCTGGCACACACAAGATCTGGGATTAGGAATGGGTCTGGTAAGGGAACTTGGGGGACTCCTTTGCTTGGTTGTAGCTCCCACTGGTGAGCATGAGAGATGGAACTGGGGGAAGACCAGGCTGGGGAGAGTTGCAGCACCCATTAGCATGTGTATGAGTTGGATCTGAAGGTGTGTCACACTGGACTAGGCCCCAGAACCCACTGGAACTCACCGGAGCCATAATGGGTGCAGGATGGATTGGGTTAGGTTGTGATACCTGCTGGTTCACATGAGATCTGGGTCTTGGGATGGGTCAGGCGGGACTAGCTATAGTACCTGCTGGTGAGAGCTAGAATAGGTGTGGCTTTGTTGGGCTAGGAAACAGCTGTGCCACTGGGTACCAGGACTGAGGTCAGGCAGAGCTGCAGAACCTACCAGTATTCCAGGCCTGGGAGTGGTTCCGATTGGGGAACTTTTCAGACTCCTGTGCTTGGCTGAAGATCCCACTGGTGAGCTCAAGAGCTGGATTTGGGGGCAAGCCAGGCCAGGCTGGACTGTAGCACCTATCATCATACATGTGGCTATGTTTGTTGGCATGCCAGGTTAGGCCAGTCTGGGCCAATCTGCAGGCCCTACCAGGTTGGCCCACAACACCTGCCAGTTAACATGAGGGCTGGAACCAGGGGTGGGTTACTCTAGCATAAGCTGCTGCACCTTTAAGTGAGAACTGGGATGAGGGATGGGCCATACCAATCTGGTAAGACCTGGGGCTGGGAGTGGAGCTGGTAGGGAACATTCAGGAACTCCCCTGCAAGACTGCAGCTTCCACTAATGAACATGAGAGCTGGGATGAGGGCAGGCTGGTCTGGGCAGAGCTGTAGCATCCACTGGTTAGCATGTGGGCTGCATCTGAGGGACGGTTGGGATAGGCTGCTGCATCTACTCATGTGCACAAGAGCCATAATATGTGTGGACCAGCAGGGCTAGGCTGCAGCATCTGATGATAAGTATCAAGACTTGGTTTGAGTCATGCCAGGATGGACCACATTATCCCACTGACAAGTACAGAATTTGGGAGCTGACAGCAGGCACAAGAGGGGAACTGTGGGTACTCCCCTAGTAGGCTGCAGCTACTCCTGGTGGCATGAGAGCCAGGGCTGTGGGTGAGCCTGGCTGCATAAGGTGGCAACACCCTACAGCATAAGTGTGGACCAGGTCTGGGGGCAGGTAGGCTGAGCTAAGCCACAGTACCCATAGGTATGCACGAAAGCCAGATGGGATATGGGATGGACCAGGCTAGGCTGCAGCTCATGCTTGCACATGCAAAAACTGGAGCTGGTAGTGAGTCTGACAGAGGTTATTGAGGGTTGCTGCAACTAGTCTGTGGTGCTCACTGGTGTGGGTGAGGACCGAGTCTGTGGAAGGCTGAGCTGGGCTAGGCCACAGCACCTGTTGATTAGTGAGAGGATGTGGCTATGAGCAGAAATGACCAGGAGCTACATCCTCCAGTGTGTGGCATATTTGTTGGCTGTTGCAGGTGACTGACCAAACCTGACCCTGTGCTAGCTGGCCCACACAAGAGGCAAGTCTGAGGTCACCCCAGGCCAGGTTTCTTGGGGTGGTGGAGGAGGGGAGTGCATAACCGCAACATATGTGTGTTTAACCTTAGAGTGCATGTGTCAGGACTGGGCCTCCTTAGTAGCTGATGCCTGTGCAGTGGGCAGCATTCTCAGATGCACCAGGGTATATGACAGCCAGTTCATCTTTCCCAGCAGAGGACCTCAAGTGCCTCCTCAGTAGGTGGAAAATGGAACAGATTAGACATCTCTCCCAGTCATACTTTGCAACATGGGTCTGTGGATGCAGTAAGGATGCACTAAGTCTATAGGACTTGGTCAACCAATAGGCATTGGAAACATTTTCTCAACTCTGGTGCAACAAAGCTGATAACATCTCAAAACTATCAAAACCACTCAAGTAACCCCCTCAGAGCACTCTGTCTCTAAACTGTCATCAAATGACTCTCCCCCGTCTTTGTGTGCTGATGTAATTTGACAGAAAGAGCAGCCCCTCCCCTCCCCCTATAGTGGACACAGGAGAAAAAAGTAGGAGAAAGGATGAAGCACTTGTTTCACCTACCTTCTACTATAGCTTGACCTTCCCCACCCTATTTGCAGGCCCACATGGGCATACATCCTGGTCAATTATGTTAACTATCAAAAATATAATAAAAAATGAAAAAAGGAAATGCTATTATATGTGAAAACCCAAGTTTATGCTATAAAGAGGTCTTTTATGTGACACAAGTATCATTTTTAGTAGTATTTATTTATTTTTAATGGAAAGGCAGATTTACAGAAAGAGGAGACAGAAAGTTTGCAACATTTGGAGGCGAGCCAATCAGAAATCAGGAGCCAGGAGCTCCTTTGAGTCTCCCATTTGGGTGCAGAGTTCCAAGGGTTTGGTCTATCTGCTACTGTCTTCCCAGACCACAGTCAGGGAGCTGTATGAGAAATGGAGTAGCCAGGGCACAAACTGGCACCCACTTGGGATCCTGACATGTGCAATGCAAGGATTTAGCCAATAAGCTATGGCACCAGACCCAAAAGTATTATTTTATAAAAAAAAAAGTTTGCTGCAATGACAAATATTAAGTTTCCTTAATTAATTTAAGACAAAAATAGATTTATAAATCAGACTTATATATGACTTTAAAAAAATAGTGTACTAATAAGCAGGTATCATAAAATAGTATGCAGGGTGACCTGATGTCATAAAAGAAAATGATGGAACTGTGAAGTTTAAAATTATTCCTTTCATTTGTATGTATCTGGTCATTTTC